TCTGCCCTTTTTTCTGCAGTATTGCAGATGAGATGACGTGTTAACGGCAGTTATAATCTAAACTTTTTCCACCTATTTGCCATATATTAATATCAACTTTAAAAATCTACCTTCATTAAAAGTAAAACCAAGTTAAAAATAACTCCAATAAACAAAGCAAAGAAGTTCTTTATTAGTATCAGATGAGAAAGAGTCAAAGAGATCGAAGGGAATTTTGGAATACCTTTTTGTGGGATGGCTAAAACAGTGCGAGTGCGGCTCTGTCTACCCTCTGCCGTTTTACTGGCACAGCTGTGTGAGCAGGTGGACCAGGAGGACCAGGGGCCAACCACACAGTCTGCAGAACAGGGCACCTCGCAGGCTTCTTCTGCAAGTGGAGGGCCTTCCACACAGTAGGCATCGGGGACATCTTCTCCTGAAAAAGGCAAGATAAGATAACTGAAATCAGCCTAAAGGCTCAAATAATCCAGTTGACACTCGCTACACTTAGTATCTCATCTTGATCTAACAGCTATCAGATGGGGAAATAACCTTGCGCAAACTAAACCAAAACACACTGGCGCTAGAATGAAATGCCAGCTGAAGTATACATCAAATGACAAATGTATATTGGAAGCAGAAAGTGGTATAACCCAAGGCCCTATGACTCTGGGTTGATCAGATTAAAACCTTAAAGCCTGGTCTTGCTCACATTAAATGCAGAGGTAAATGAACCCACAACATAGTGCGCTCCTAATACATCAGCCCCCTCCAGAGGATACCAGATCTTTCATCATGCTGAATTAAAGTGTAAATGCAATTCACATGAAGTACAACACATAATGTGTTATTTGGTCAGCTACTTTATATTCTGTGCTCGTCTCAGTTTTACCATTTTTGTTAGGCCTGAATTATCTCTGAAGAACACACAGACTTGCACTTGTGACACTGGACAAGATAATAAGTGGATCCTGCTGGATCTAGCTGACACAATTGACACATGTTGATACCGTTACATTCACTCTGTGACAAATTCAAGTCATGTCTACATCAGCTCTGAATGTGAACACATGGTAATGCACGTATAGGGGAGGATGATGTGTTTATTGCAATTTGGAGCACTTAGACTGTTTTCATTCTTCAAAATTAATCCCTAAAATTCTTTTTTTGTGCTATTGATAAAATTTGCGAGAGCATGTTACAGATGGTAAAAGCAAGTAAGCGGGCATCCCTCCTAAGTGTTCTGTCAAACACAAATTTCATTTCATCAAAAGAAATTGTAAGGTCACTCCATTGGTATTCTGAGCTAGTTTTAAAAGCTATCCTTCAGCCTTCATATTCGTGTTATGAAATATGTATCGCAGCTGCTAGTTAACTCTTCTTTTACAAATGAAACAGCCACAGGAAACAAAGAGCAATTTCTTTTTACTTTGTTATATCTGTGCCCCATTTTTTTTACAGTTTATCTAGGTTGCTTTAATACGTCTTGAACCATCATTAAGGTGTGCAGTACAGTAAGTGCAATTTTATTAAGCCACAAAATTAATTACCTGCAAAAGTAAATATCCAACTCTCTGAAACTGTCATTGGCTTGAGTCATTCTTTGCAAACAAGATGGTCAAAAATACTGGTCACTAGACTGGCATGTTGTCAGTATAATGGTGTACTCCGCCTATGTAAACTCTTGCAAGGTTTGGCAGACAAAATGCAAAAGGCTCCACTTTTTTGACTCATATACAATGCCTCAGTTCAAGATATCTACCAGATATCTGCCAGGTCTCTCTTGGAAATGAGATTTTTAATCTCAATGAGATTTTTTTTTTACCTATTTTTATTTTTATATAGACTTATATAGAGAGAAATATAGAGAAAAGACTGTTGATTGCATTGTTTTTCGCCACACACTGTTGCATGTGCAGTCTTTCCTGTATTGCAACGTCATGGTTATGGGAATGGTATCGAAGATACAGTCACAAAAAAAGTAAGCAAACAAAGAAAGAAAAAGAAACATAAAAGGTGAGTTGGGAATAAAAGTGAAAAAGACATGACCTTACATATGCCTATCGGTTCTCGCTTGTTTTCAATAAGATCAAAGATTGAAAAATAAAAACAAGAAAACCTGCTTGATCCATCGTGACAAGTGGCTCCAACATCGTCTGCATGACAATATCAATGACAGAGAGACAGCATGACATGCAGATGTCGCCAGATAACATGGAGACTGAACAAGTAGTTTTGAGAATGTCATTTATCAAATGAAAATTGCACAATCGCCATCGAGAAGAACTTTTACTGCATCTTTTAAAGCGTCCTTAAGCACCTTGAAAGGTACTTGTAGATTAAACATAATACAACAATAGCTTTCTTGTTAAACACTATGCACATAAGCTATTACTATATAGATAACCAGACATATGGTTGTATTTCCTTTTGGAGCTTAAAAAGAGTTTGCCATAGATTTCTCCAAGGTCTCTGTCCTAGAGAGACAGATCAATTTCAGAAACAGGAACGTCATCCTGTTGTCAAAACAATGCCAGTAGCAGCTGAAGCATTGTTTTCTGATATACACTCACAGAGAGAAGAATCATTAACTTGGTTGAACCCTGCCACTAGATCATGGAATATAGTTTAACAATAACAACCCCAGGGCAGATCTGTCATCAATTTGTCTCTTTTTTTTTTTCATCTGAATCAAGCAAACAACCTTGAGTCAGAGGAAGGCAGTAAACACAGAGAATGCAAACTTAGATGTTGCCTCATAAGAAAAATGTAAAAGACCAACCCTCGGGGAGTTTGGAAACTTTGTGGCCATAAAGTCAAAGCATAAGAGATCTCCAACCATCAAAGCAGCTGATGTGCATACAGCAGGAGTTAAAGAGAAATCAGCTGAATGTAACGATGACCCAAAGGCTACAGTGTGGGATACATTACGACTTTCATTAGCACAGATCAAAATGGGCATAAGATGCAAATTTTTCCAACTGATGGTAATGTAAAAGAGAAAAAAATGGGCATAAACCTCCAAAAGTTGATTCTGTTGTGCATAAACATTTGCAGAGCGAGACGTATATTTATAATACCTGACAAGTGGAAAGATGGTGGATGGTTATTACTGTAATGTTCACTAAAATTATATTTTCAACTAAAATTAAAATTTTAAGTAATGAGAACATAGGTTTCACGATGGTATACATATTTAAACAACTCAGAGACGCTTTGGAGGCTGCAGCACAAATTACAATGATCTTTAACGCGATTGTTTTGAACTGACAGTAAGCTGTGCGGGAATTCATTGTCACTGTTTTGGTTCGCAGTAACTCCTACCCAGGTAATTATTTCAGGTATGCATGCTAAAATGCAAAGACAGCATGAAATGGAGCAGGGCATGCACTATAGATTTCAGTGAATCAACCTCACTGACCCACATTTAGAGCAATACACACTAGAAATGCAAAAATGGGCAATGACATACAGCGGTACTTAAAAGAAAAAGGTTTAAATGGAAAATGCAAAGCAAAAAGTTTTAGCTTAAAGTAAAGTAAATAAATATTTTTTGTTTGTTCTTTTGCTACTTTTAGAGAAAGAGCAGAAGAACAACAGTTTGTTTTTCCACCCACTATTACCTTTATGGGCAGTGACATAATTTACATACAATTTACACTGCTTTATAGTACAAGTAGAGAAGGGTCATATCTGCCTATTGTAAGCATGGACAAAGTCTTATATAGTTTGGAAGTTGAATTTCTGTTAAACAGCATGGACAAGAGTATGAAAGTCTGTGCGATCAAGGTGTTTGGAATACCAAGAGGTCCAGCATTCACTTAAGTCTACAAATTTTTACAAGGGCAAAACTTTGCAGAAAGGCCACTGACGAGGGCGCTTTGACACATTTACATTCCCAACTTTAGGTTTTAAATCAATCTAATGCAACAAAAAGAATATAAAAGCATGACACTGGCTCCAGGCTTATTAAAAAAGGATTAAAACAGATGCATTATTGCCAAAGGTGGAATTACTTACGGTGCTTTTATAAACAATGGAAAATCAGTAATTCAACAATCTTTCTGCTTGAAAATCAAAAGGGTTTAATGCATGTATTAGCAAACAAAGTAACAAAAGACTCACAAAACCTTGCCTGAAAACACTGCCTAAAGAGAAATGACATGATAACATGAATCCAAAGTCACAACTTATGTATTTGTATCTATGTGTGAGTGTGCATGTATGAGACTACTTGTGTGTGTGGGGGTGCTCTGCAAATAGATGGTTGCCCTAGGGGTCCTTTTGCATTATTAATACAGGAATCTGTAGTTGGGGCTCTTACTCAGATATAATATCACCGGCTCCTGCATGCAATTTCCACATGATTTCTATTCTGCTCGCCCACCCACCAATTAATTTCTTCATTGTTATTATTCTAGTAGATGCTGAAAAAAAGTCCTCGCCTTTGCTTAAAAGTTAATAATCATATCCAATCTGTGGAGGAAGCTTTTAAAGTAGAGCTGGGGGGAGGCGAAAGAAACAAGGTGCATTGGATAAAATAGCTGTGAGCATCCAACAAACTACCCTGGGTCACTAATTATTTTCTGTGCTTTACCTGCCTGTTAAACGTGTAGCTTCAGCATTTCAGCAAAAGTTAGTCACTTTCAGCACTTCTCCTAAACATAGCTCCTGAATATTGCTGACCACTTGAGCAAGCAGAGTCAGAATGATGCTGACCACTCTTCTCAGTTATTAGGTCAGAAATGTCAGATCATCTGTAGGTTTAAGTATACGCAGCAAAGATCGGCTGTATGTGGGTCATGTCAACTGCCAGTCACAGGTGCACTGCATTACACTGTGGTCTATGGTTACATCGAGAAATTGGACCGACTACTCTGGTCACCGTGCAATTAGTGGGAGCTGTCAGAACAACTGTGTTTACTGTGCCAAAAAGCTAGAGGGTGAAGC